ACTGACACTGAGCCTGTCACTGACCCTGACACCACTGACCACACTGACACTGAGCCTGTCACTGACCCTGACACCACTGACCCCACTGACACTGAACCTGTCACTGACCCTGGCCCCACTGACCACACTGACCCTGAGCCTGTCTTTGACCCTGAGCATGTCACTGACCCTGAGCATGTCACTGACTGTACTGACCCTAACACTGACCTTTTACTGACCTTACCAACCCTGACACTGACCACACTGAACTGTCCCTTTTAACCCTGACCCTGTCATTGACCCCACTGACACTGCACTGGCCCACACAGTGTAGAGACTCTCCAGGCTGGACTGGGAGCTGGACTAGTGATTCACTGGGATTATAATCAGACTCACTGACACTGACAGAGCAGTCTGAGAGTCTCCAGGCTGGGCTGGACTGACTGGACTGGGAGCTGGATTAGTGATTCACTGCGATTAAGAAAACAACAGCGTTTCCATGAAGGGAACTTACTTCCCGGCCAGTCCTCCTCCGGCCGGCTCTCCCGGTTCCCCGCTGAACACATCCCCCGTCTTTCCTGCCATCGCTGTCCCGCTGTCGGCTCCGCTGTCCCGGGCTGGCTCCCTGCTTCCCGGACAGCGCCAGGACAGAAGGACAAAAAACCAGCTTCATCCCCCTGGAACTCAACTGACGTACGAGGACGAATCAAACTGCCCCCTGCACCCCGCAGGGCCACACATTCCACGCGTGGGAGTGCTTGAGTGAGCTTCGGCGCGATTGCGTGCCAGCCTATAACGTCATCACCCAACCTGCCAGAACAACGACGTCACTACATCCCTCTCTACGTCACTGTTCCAAACAAAACAAACAGTAAAGATGAGTTTAGAAAGTGAGTGAGATAATAATAATAATAATAATTATTATTATTATTATTATTAACACGTAAACGACGTGGTCTGTTCTCACCAGGACGGCGTTAATACCAATGGAGGACCGTGAATATTTTTTTCCAATTGGAAGATTTTTCCCATTTTCGAGTGAGCCAGGTTTTCCAGCAGGAAGAACTGGAGACACTTCTTCCCATTAGCCCCGCGCACCGAACCAACAGCCGCAATTCGACACCGCTGCTCAATCCCCAGTCTGATCCCAAACAGTATTAAAAGGTTTGAAATAATTATATATGTCTCAGGAACTCCGAGACACTCACCCTCGGCGATGCTCTCTTTGTGTTCCGGCTCAGTTCCGGATGTGACGTGTCCCCGTAGGGCGGCCAACGAGCTGGCTATTTACCGTAAATCGCCTGATAGACGGGTAGCCCGAATTAGCTCTCCGTGTCTGCAGCACAGCGCGCAGGCCGGCTCTGTCAAACCCCCGTTGGCAAATGGGGTGCCTACACATCTATAGCTCAGGGTGCGAGCGCTGGTGCATTTCGCTCAGGAAGACTGTGAGAGACAGGTCAGCCCCAGTAGGGGTATCTGGACAGTGTGGGACCATAGAGGCTGCTTTGGTCAGGGGGTGCTAGTGGAGCACCTCACCACTATCTTCCCTCTGGACCAGAATTTCCAGCCCACTGGCCCAGTATGGTGAACAGGGACACCGTCCTTTACAAGGCACTGCCCTCGGGATGAGATCTT